CTGGGCCAAAGGCAGGTGCTAAACCGCTGCGCCACCCAGGGATCCCTAGCTGAGGGCTTACTTCATGCCAAGACCCAGGGAATCGGGGGATTGATCCAGAGGGAGGAGCCTGGTAGTGTCTTACAGAGGCAGCTCCCAGCCCAGCCAAGGGAGGACAGCCATTGTATCATAGTCGTGAAGCCATAGAACGGTGTGTTCTCATAGCACCTGGGACAATAACAAACTGTGTGACTTTGAATAAATCATTCCCCTCTCTGGGCCACTGTTTACTTCTTCATTAGGCTGCATAAGACCTCTGGGGTCAGCAGGTCTGGCCCTGGCTTCTGGGAGAGATGGCCCTCACTCCCACATTAAATAGAAGTCATATCGTGTGATCCTGAAGAAACAGGCTCTGGAACCAGATGAGATGGGTGTCGTCTCAACCGACACACTTGGCCTGTGACCCTGAACAGCTCTCTGAGCCTCTGTGTACCTAGATTTCCCTGTGTGTAGAAGGTGGTAGTAGCAGCTATTAGAGCCCCTGTGAGCACTGAAAAGGAGCACACAGACACAACTATCCCAGTGCACAGTCTGTATTTGTACAGGTACCAGTGCACGGACGTGCTCAGTAAATGCTCACAACTGTAACTCCTGTTACAAGAGGGAAGCTGTAGCAGCTCCCCATATAAGTGTGAAGCCTGGATTAGACGCCAGCTGGCCCGGAGGCAGCAGAATGGCCAGGGTGACCTCTGAAGCACCCTGGTGGCAGGAAGGAAGCTGGTCGGCCCCTTGTGGCTCAGCACACCCACAGAAACCCAGCACTTCGCTCCTACCCAGGGGAGTTCTCAACTCCCAGCATCACCTCTGATACGCAGAACGAGGCTGGGTGGAATAATGTCTGAGATGAGCCAGTAAGGGAGAAGATGATAGAAGAATACAGACAGCTGAGCCCCCTTGGATCTGGCTCCTGTGGCCTCCACTGCTGGCCTCTTGCCCACGCCAACATGGCCTCTGTAGTAGCAGAGCTCCTGAACCCTGCAGCAGAGGGCAGACGTCATTGTGGGACCAGGAGGGGCTCTGCTTCATGACCTGGGGCTCCTTGCACAGGAGAGACGAGTCATCTCCGATGTGTGGAGTAAAGGTCTCAGCCACTGGTGGGCACGGGCCTCCCTCGCTGCTGCTCGCTGTTAAGGAAGGCCCACTGCGTACAGAGGCCAGGAGGCCTACCCCGTGTTGGAGGGCAGTTCTGTTAACTGAGCATCTTCTTGTTGCTGGGCACCCGCTGTGCCACCAGTGGTGGCTGAGCCAGTACTGAGACCCACGCAGTTAGTGTTAGATGGGCTGGTGAATGCGCTGGGGGAGACTTTCTGGTAATAGGTGTGATTGCCCACATCTGTACAGGCAGGAGGGTGGTGTGCTGTGAGGTTAATGAGGCTAATGCTTGGGGACCATCACTTGCACGTCCCCCTTCTAAGTCCCTCATCTTTTTATTTGTAATTTAAAATTTGTCAATTAGTTTTATTGGAGTATAGTTGCCATACAGTGAACTATACATATTTGAAGTGGACCATTTGGTTAAGTTTTGACAGATGTAAACACCTGTGAAGCCAGTTTCTCTGTCAAGACAGTGAACATATCTATCTTAACCTAAAATGGCCTTACCTATTTATATTTTAAATTATTTTTCTCAAAGAGAGCCTTCCAAGTTTTAGGTGCTTTAGGCCACACAAAAATCTGGATAAACTCCTGAGTAGGGAGGGTCAAATGAAACCAGGATAAGAAAGCACTTTAACAATTATGTTAGACTAATCAGAAATAAAAGGTTATTTTTTTTTTTACTTAATGTGTACCTTAATGTGTAGTAGGCTAAAATGCCTCATGGGATGTCTGGCCAGCATCTTATCACTGTTCCCTTTTCATGCATCTAACAGATACATATTAGGAGCCTACTACAGAAAACTGCAGGCAGCATTCTAGGTGTTGGGCATGAACAAGTGAATAAACAGACAAAAATCCCTGTTCTCAGGAGCTTTCCTGCTGCTGGGAATGGGGGTGGGGGAGGCAGTGCTCTGAGTGAGTAAGCAGATCCCAGGTGTGTGAGAAGGTGCTCGGGAGAGCAGTAGAGATGCTGGGTGGGTGGAGGCTGACCTCAGCTTTCAGCGGAGTATTCAGGAAGCTGTCTCTAACATGGTGCCACCTGAGCAAAAGAGGTGTTGGAGCAGGAAGGTAAGAGAGCGGTGGGCCATGTGTGGGCTGAGAACACGGCACGCAAGGGCCCCTGGGTGGGAGTGGGCCAGGCATGTCTCAGGAGACCCAGTGTGAGGTGATGAAAAGTCAGACGGGCCAGGCTGGGGATGGAGTCAGTAGGACCTGTGGGCTTCCAGGCTGTTGTAGGGACTTGGACGCCAGCAGTCTGAGTGAGATGGGAAGCCACTAAAAGGTGTTTGGCTGCCATGTTAAGAATAGGCTGAGAGCAGGGGATCCAGGTAGAAGGTTATTGTCAAAGCTGAGGCCAGACAAGACAGGAGCTTGGACCATGGAGGGTGAGGTGGTGAGAGGTGGCTAGATTCTGGAGATACATTTGACCTTTGAACAACATGGGCATTAGAGGTACCAACCTCCACCCCACCCCCCAGACACAGTGACAATCCACATATAACTTGACTCCCCCAAAACTTAACTACAAATAGCCTGCTGCTGACGAGAGCCTTACGATAATATCAACTGTCCATTAACATGTTTTGTATGTCCTATGTATTGTGTCCTGTATGTTTACAATAAAGCGAGCTAGAGGAAGGAGAATGTTACTAAGAAAATCATAAGGAAGGGAAAATATGTGTCTGGTACTGTACTGTATTTATTGAAAATGATCTGTGTTGTAAGTGGACCCACACAGTTCAAACCCATGTTCCTCAAGGGTCTGCTGTCAAGATTGGCTGACAGGCTCACTCATTCATTCATTCAACAGATAGGGTGGATTTTAGAGATGCAGGCCTGAATGGTGATGTGACCCCTTGCTCTGAGGTGTGGAGAATCTAACACACAAGATGGAACTGCACACAGATGTGGGCTAGAGAGCACCAGGCACGGGTGGCCTCTGAGGCCACTCAGACGCCTGTCCCCTGCCCTTCCCAGCAGCAGCCTCCCTCAAAAGTGTGCCCTCTGGTGCTGTCATCAACCTCCTGGCTCTCAGGAGCCCTCTGTCTTCCCCTCACTCCCAGGCTGGGCCCTGAGCTAGACTACTCACACAGGCCTCTTCCTTTTGCAGGAAAGGAAACTGAGCCACAGAGCACTCTCACTGAACCCAGGCTATGGTCTGTTTCCTAAGTCTGTGGAACATTTGGTTAGTGTAATCTGGAGGAAGAAGCTTAACAAGGCCTGGTTTAAGAAGAGAAGTCTGGGTGAAGGTCCACAGAGGTGTGAGACTGGCCGAGGTCCCATAGCTCGTTTATGGAGCTTCTGGGCTAGCTCCTGGTTCCCCAGCTCCCAGTTCTGTGACCCGCCTGTGGTCCCCCTACTGGTGGCCACTTGGACTCTCTGGCCAGTGAAAACAGCGTTTCTAGCTACAGCATGAGTGTTTCTAGTTAGATGTGGCACAGGACTGTTGAGCTGTTTTTGGACGTTCGTTTAAAGTGGAGTACCTTGCCCTGGAGTACATCTCCCTGGAGAGGAGAGGAGACGTGCTGCTGGATCTGTGTTTAGGTGCAGACCAACCTGCAGGTGATATTGTCAGGGTCTGATCCCTGTCCCACCTCTTTCCCCTGACACAGACGGTCCAGTGCTCCTTGGCCGGCTCGTCTTTCTGGCAGAGGAGCCCTCCCGAGGGTGGCCTCTTAATTCAGCCTTGGCAGTGTGGAAAGGTCACCTGGGGGGCCAGCTTGGCTCAGCCATGCTCTCTGGTTACAGCGAGGTGGCGGACAGCCCACTTGTCTCAACCCTGCCCCCTGCACAGCAGCCTCCTGACTTGTGGCCACAGCCCCCTAGGCTCAGCAAGGGCCGGCAGGATGGCAGACTGGTGGCTGTGCCCGCCGGCCCCGGGGCTGGGCCAGGGAGGTGACAGCTCCCTCTCCAACCCCCTTGCCCTTCCTGTCCCCAGCCCAATGCCCTTCTTTATGGTCTAATCCTCCTAGTCATCAGGGCCCAGCAGAAGGCTCACCTGACCACCCAGCCCGAGCTGACCCCTGTGCTCTGAGGGCACTGTGTGTTCCCTGTCCGTGGCCCGCAGTAGGGTTGCAGCTTGGGCACATGTCTCTCCTCAGCTAGGCGGTGGTTTCTGTGAAAACAGAACCTCTTTTCATAATTCCATTTACACTAGAGGACATGGGCAGCTCCTTACAGGTTTCCAGGGTCCTTCAGACATAGCCTCAGCCTCTCAGAGGCTGGGCCCTTGGCACACACTCGATATTACCCGTTGACTGATCTAATCAGAGCCATGGAGCTGGAGTTGTGTTCTGCCCGGTTCTCTTGATCTGAGTTCAGGGCCTCAGGCCTCCTCCCTGGGGATGCTCAGGGTCTCAGAACTAATGTCTCCCACACCCCCTGCTGCTCACAGACAACACAAGACATCTCATAAGGTCCTGCTCATTTGTGGAGGTGCTGGAAGCCTTGGAGGCTGCATGGGGGAGTGTCAAGGCCCAGCACTTCCTGTAGCCTCCTGAGTGTGCAGGAGGGAGGCCCTGGGGAGGCAGGACAGATTGGCAGCTGTCAGGCTGCTATAGAGTGCGGGGAGGAGATGGCCAGCATGGGAAGAGGGAGCCTCTGAGAGGGTGCCTCAGGTTTGTATGGGGCTCACAGCCCTGTCATCTTCTTGCTCTCAGGTTACCAGTCCCCCAGCAAGGGCTTAGTTGCCTCTTGCTGCTGGGAGATCCCTGGGATCCAAGGAGGGGGGTGGGAACCTGCAGAATCCTCACCCCAAGTCCCCACTCAAGGTGAGCAGAAGATGAGGGAAAGGATCCCTCAGATCCTCCCCTGCACCTGCCTTTTGTCCTCCTCCTGCTGAGAGGCTGTTGGTGTCTTTGTAGGTCGGAATGAGCTGATTGCCCGCTACATCAAGCTCCGGACAGGGAAGACCCGCACCAGGAAGCAGGTGGGCCCTGGGAGATGAGAGTGGATCCCGGGGGCAGGTACCCTGCTCCTAGCCTGCTCCCATGGTGGGCCAGGCCCTCTGCAGGACCAAGGGTGGGTTCTCAGTGGGGCTGGTTTAGAGGGGTTAGCTCTTTCTGGTATATCATGGACAGTTCATTGTCCCTGCTGCTGTCAACTGGGAGGAGATCCCGCACCTTCCAGGGGAGTCGGCAGCCCCCTCCCCGCCCCTCTCCAGGACACCAGAACAGAGAGTGGAGTGGCAGCACTATACTTTGTTTTATTGCCAGACTCTGGATTAGCTGGATGTGGCAGGACTGAGGACCCATCATGGACTGGGCCTTTCATTCACTCAGTCCACAGATGTGGGCTGAAGGTGCTGGAGTGGGGGAGGGTCAGGGAGCCAAAAAGGGGAGCACAGGCCTTCTGGGAGGTGGGGACAGCAGCCTTCTCTTCCTTGCTGCAGGTCTCCAGCCACATCCAGGTGCTGGCTCGTCGAAAAGCCCGCGAGATCCAGGCCAAGTTAAAGGTAAGACAAACCAGCGGCAGTGGGAGGGGGACCTAGGCCACAGGTGAGGCCAGCTTCCTAGAAAGTGGGGCTCTTTTTCTAGCAGGAAAATTCTTCCCCTTGGGTTCAGGGACTGGCTGTTTGTACACAGAGCCAGCATGCTTCTTGGTGTGGAAAAGAGTGGGATTCAGCCTATAACTGCTTGACTGTGCAGGATATGACAGTTGACCTCAGAGCTGTGTGTGTGAGACCACCAGGCTGTACAGTGTGTGCCTCCCCCCACCCCCGCAGCTCACTCGCAGATCCCAGCAGGACCTCCACACCCCATTCCTTGACAACCTCCTCGAGGCCTTGGCCCTTAGTACTGTCCCCTGTGCTTGCAGGGTGGTCAGGCTTGGGCGGCACTACCCCGGGGGTAGGATGAATATTATTGCGGAAGCTGGTGGGATTCCTTCCTACACTCTGCTCTCTGAGATGGGCAGCTCTCTCCCCGTCCCAGATCGGCCCCACTTTACAGGGCCATCTTCTGACAGGGACTGTTCTGTGGAGGGCCAGCTGCTGTCAGGACTCCTCTCAGGGCAGTCTGTTTCCCACAGGACTGAGGCTTCCTGGACACTAGATGAATACCAGGTGGGAATGAGCTCCCTGTCATAGATGTGTTCATAGCAGAGTTTTCCCAGCTGCTTGGCAAGAAGAGCTGACATTTGGGGGTCTCAGATGAGACCAGCAGTTAACACACTTTTTTAAAGTAGGAGTAGAGGCCTCTTTTCTTTTTTCCCCCAACAAAATATTGCACCAGTATGTTACCAGAGGAGCTATTCTAGTCACAGCTAGGTCGATGAGGAATAATAATAGGCCAGAGACCCCCTGTTCCTAGTCACCTCTCGTGCTCTGTGGCTCTTAAACCCCAAAGTAGCTCAGAACCCAGTTAAAAACCTTGGCACTAGATGAGCTTGAAGGTCCCATGTGGCTCCAGTTGTCCCTGATCCTGACGCAGAGGATCCAAATAAGTGGTGGGAACTCCCAGGAAGCTGCACCCCACTGCCCACTCAACCCAGCTGTCCCCCACCCCTGCAGCTGCAGCCTAGCACCTCACTCCTTTGTCCCCCGGACAGCTGGCCGGGCCTCAGCTGTTGCTCTCTTCCTCTGAGGCCAGGCACATGTACTCCTGCAGACCCTCTGGCCCTGGAGTCCAGCATGATCCCCACTTCTCCTCTCTGGTCTGCCTCTGACTCATTGGGACCCTGGCAGGGGGCCAGAATGGGCCAGAATGGAGAAAAGACTTTCCAGTGGTCTGTTTACAGCTGTCGAGGGAAACTTTTAATTCCCTTGGGGACCATCTGTACGGCCCACATTTGCTTCAAGGAATCGCTACGTTTGTCTATAGGCTCTAACTTAGAGGTTGGGGAGAGCTTTCAGAGACCACTGTGCAGACTGCAAGGGGAGCCATGAGCTCCTGAAATAAGATGCATTCATTTTCCTGGGGGGAGTGGTCTAAGGATTTTGTCATGTTCTCAGAGGGGTCTGGGATCCAACATAATTCGTCTCCCTGATGGATGGACTTCTGTTAGGTAGAAATCCTCCAGTACTTGGGATTTGGTCTGTCTGGGTCTGCCCTTGTGCTGTGGGAGCATGGATGAGTCACTGGCCCTGCCCAAGCTTTATTCATTTTAAAATATGAAATGACAGGCAAGGTGGTATCTGAGGTCTTCTTCAGCCCCCAAATTCGGTGACTCCCTGGTCTTGTTACATGGTAACTGATGTCATTCCCTATGATGTCCTTCCCACTTCCCCCTGATTCCTGTTCCACCCCGGTGAGGACGTGGTTTCCTGAGCCCCGGTCATTTGTTTAGATCAGCTATCCGGGAAGGGACGTAAGTTGCTGACATTGAGTAGATGGAGCTCTCTGGCCCCATAATGCAGTTGTTAACCACAGAGGTCCACAGGCTTTCTCAGGGTACGGCCTCCTGCACATACATGTCCTCCTGGAAGGAGAGCCCCGGGCCGGCTGGCATGTTGGGTTTTTCCCTCCTGAGCAGTGTGTGTCCTCCAGAGGAGGCCACCTTATGCTAATAACCTCTTTTTTGGTTATCAAAGAGCCTCTGAGAGTAAGGTTGACCCCAAAAGGACAGTGGTTTGAGGATGACTCCTCTCAGGATGATCTCCTCTGCCTTCCACGGTGTGTGCTGGGTGCTGTCAGAATTCACTGTACATCCTTCTCTCCCCCTGTCCCTGGCCCAGGACTGCAGAGACCAGAGCTGAGTTGATATGCAAACTTAGACCAAGCTTTTAGGCCAGCCATCACCACTGTCAGCACCCTAAATTCTCTGAGGGCGCCACATAAATTCTCTGAGCTGCTGTTTCTTCAGCTGAAAATGGGGATGCTACTTGTCTTGCCAGCCTCACAGGAGTGCTGTGATGTTCAGAATCAAAGTGAGGTTGTGTTGTTGACCTTCTGTGGGCCATCTTGTGCCATGTGACTGCACATGGAAGGGCCTCTGGGGTTCTGGTTCCATAGTCATGAGATACAGGGATGCTGAGTGACCACCTGGACCTTTCAGAGCCTAATGCCTGCACAGTGGTGTTCCCCTCATAGGGCTATGGTGGGGGCCGAGGAAAACTGTCCTGGAGAAGCACCTGTCTGCTGCATGGGCCTCCATCAGTTCTAACTATCTGTGACTCAGGACAGATCTGGTCTACCAACTTAAGTCCCACAGATCGGCTAATTTATTTTTCCCATTTAAAACTACTCATCAGAAAGAGAATTTTTTTTTTATTGGTGTTCAATTTGCCAACATATAGGATATCACCTAGTGCTCATCCCGTCAAGTGCCCCCCTCAGTGCCTGTCACCCAGTCATCCCCACCCCCCGCCCACCTCCCCTTCCACCACCCCTAGTTCGTTTCTCAGAGTTAGGAGTCTCTCATGTTCTGTCTCCCTTTCTGATATTTCCCACTCATTTTTTCTCCTTTCCCCTCTATTCCCTTTCACTATTTTTATATTCCTCAAATGAATGAGACCATATAATGTTTGTTCTTCTCCGATTGACTTACTTCACTCAGCATAATACTCTCCAGTTCCATCCACGTTGAAGCAAATGGTGGGTATTTGTCGTTTCTAATGGCTGAGTAATATTCCATTGTATACATAGACCACATCTTCTTTATCCATTCATCTTTCGATGGACACCGAGGCTCCTTCCACAGTTTGGCTAAACATCGGGGTGCAGGTGTCCTGGCGTTTCATTGCATCTGTAAGAAAGAGAATTTCTAATCTGAGCTCCAGAGTTGACATATCCAGTCTTTTGGCCTCAGTTAAGTCACACACACTGAATAATACTTAATATTCCAGTCTATAAATGTGGTCTTATTTTGGACAACAACATAGTTTCTGTTAGGCTTTTTGAAAATACAGAAATCTGAATACAGAAATACTGAATTATGTCTCCTCATTTTAAAGACCCGTGGGATTGGGGCACTCAGGATGGGAACCACTGGCTTCCACACATATAAAGATTATTATTATGGTTACTGTTTTTGCCAGTGTTGTGAGTGCTTACATGTGCTTTTCTCCCACGGAGGGTGAATAGCTTGTATTGAATCCTGATGTGTAAAAGGCAGGGGGTGCCCAGTGCAAGAGAAGACTCCTGGGATGAGACCGAGATAGGTGGGACCCCCAGGAGACCATCCCATGCCTCCACACAGTCCATGTGACTGAGGGTGACCCCTCCTGTCCATTTGAGGAAGGCTCTGGCAAGTTGGTGTATCATCACCCTGGGTCAGGTTCTCCCCCATCTGCCAGTGTCGTAGAGGCGAACAAGGACTAAAAGGCCTTCTCAAAGTAGCCCCCTTGAGATAGTTTGGCAGATGGTTTCCCGAGCCCTTTAAGCTCTACTAAAATAGATGGAACAAGTATTTTGTCCTTTGACAGATGAGGAAACTGATCAGAGGAACTAAGTGACGTGTGTTCAGTCACTAATCAAGTTCATAGCACTGCAGGGGCCTGAGCCTGGTCCCTCAGGGCCTTGTCCAGGGCTCTGGCCACTGGTGGTGGGACAGCTTCCGCGAGCACCAGCCTGGACCCCGCCTCACCCACACCTCTTATGGGGACCACCACTGAGGCCCTCCCTTCCAATGTCTCCCCAGGACCAGGCAGCTAAGGACAAGGCCCTGCAGAGCATGGCGCCCATGTCACCCGCCCAGGCCATCTCCGCCACAGCCTTCCACAGTAAAATGGCCCTCGCCCGGGGCCCAGGCCACCCAGCAGTCTCAGGGGTAAGTGGGGCTGCCTGGAGCCAGAGGCCATGCCAGCCCCTCCTTTGCCACTCTTCCGCCTCTCTAGGAGCCAGAGGCACTGGCCAGTCCTGGAGAGCGGGGCGGGGGAAGGAGGGACCAAGGACCGAGGGGCCATGCCAGGGCATGGCTCTGCTGGCTTTGGCACTGGCTTCTCGGGGGCCTTGTCTGTGACACAACAGACCTTCCACAAGGGGCAGAACTTCCCCCAGGAATAGACCAACCGAGTAGCCCTCCAGAGTTGGCCTGATTGACAGATGAAGGGCTGAGGTGCAGCTGCCTTGTGCCCTGGAGCAGCCGCCATCTCGGTCCTGCCCCCGCAACCCTCACGCACTCAGCGCCGTTCTCTGTTGCCTCAGACAGTCCGTGTTCAGACTCTTGTTCGTGTTGTACATTTCTTACCCCTGGCCAGCTAGCTCACACTTTCAGAATGGTCTAGAGAGGCTCTTCCTTTCCAGGGCTGTATCCTCACAGGCTTCTCTTGGTCGTAGGGACTAAATGGATCTTCATAATGCACCTGTAGCACTGCCCTAGGTGTGCGGGGAGAGGGCAGTGATGGGCAGTGTGATTCAGAGATTGCTAGCCCATCAGAATATTACACAGGACACAGAGTGATGCTGTTTGCAAGGGAGCTTGGGACACCTAGAGCTAAATAGTTTTCTCGACTCTGGGACTGTTGAGGCTGCTGTGTGTTGTGGGCTTCCAAGGGAGGAATATAGCTGCCAGGATTCCAAACCTGGGGTTTCTCCTGAGGAGCACCTTTTCAGCAGAGCATGTCCAGAGACTAGAGCTCCTGGTGACACATTTTGGGACACCACTCAAGCCTGGATAGTCCTGGATAGAAGCGCTACTGTCTCCTTACTCCCACCGGTCCAGCCCCCTAGCCCTGCCTTCCAGCTGAGGCTCCTGCCTGGCCTCCCCACACAATTGCCCATGTGCATGGGGCTCTGCTGACTCTGTGCTTTTTGCCTCCTCAGTTTTGGCAAGGAGCTTTGCCGGGCCAAGCCGGAACATCCCATGAGTGAGTATGGCCTGCTACCCGTTGCTCTCGGAACTGAGCTGGAACATAAACTTGGGCTGTGGAGCCTGGCTCCCAGTCTGGGACAGGGCTGCAATGTTCAGTCAGCCTTCCAGGAGGGGCTAGAGCTTTGGGATTTGGCTCTCCTACTTGCAGGCAACAACTCAGTCGGCAATGTGGATACCGTGGGAGTTTGGTATCTGCCAAAACTCTAGTCTGTCTGGGGTAGAGCGGGGCCAGAGTTTGAGACCCAAAGGGAGGGAAGCTAGGAAGCCGGCCTCTGGCTGGCCGCTCTGGTTGGCTGGGAAGGGAAGGAAAAGAAGGAGGGGTGGATTTTTCCAATAGGCACACTGCTTTTGTGGGTAATCCATGAAACCTGATGGACTTGGCAGGGGAAGGAGCAGGTGGTCAGAGCCCACCAAGGCCACTGATGGCCAGACCCCCAGCCACACAGGAGCGTTGCACATTGCTGGAGGCTCCTGGGCTACCACCTGCTGTAAGGCTTACACTTCCTGTCTCCTGTCTCCTACAGTGTGAAACCTTTCTCTCAACAAACCTACACTGTCCAGCCTTCACTGCCTCTGCCAGGTGGGTCAGAAGTGCATGGCTCTTTTGTACCTCGCATGCCTGCAGCTCTTGCCCCCCCAGGTCCCAGGCCCCCTGACAGCTGGACATCTTATGAACCGCTTAGGTGTTGCCCTGGCATGTGCTCAGACCGTATGTCCCAGGCTCCTGGCTCCACCCCATTGCTTGCCCCTATCATGCACACCTCTGCCGAACACCGAGCCCCTCGTTGCCTGACATGCTCCCCAGTCTGGGCTCAGGGCTTTCAGGGGTTCACAGGGTGGGGCTTATGCCCCAGGGCGGCTGTTCCACCTGGCGCCCCTCGTGTGCCACTCCTGAGATGGCCTCCCTCTTGGTGACACTATAATCCTCTCCTTCAAAACAGGAGGTCCAAGAAGACCGTGGTTTTCTAGCATTGAGCTGCTTGTGAGCAGAGGGAGCACTCCTGGCAGAGGCCTGGAGTGTGGGTGGGCCCACATGGCAAGCACAGGTGTCCGTCCTGGCCCACAGTGACCTGCCCTGTCCTTGCGTCTTTCTCATGAGGGTCTCCCATCTCCTTCCTCTCTGCAGGGTCTTCACCCTTAACCACCCTTAACCACCCTTAACCTTAACTTTTCTGACTCTGCCTCTGCTGACTGGCCTGGCTTGTCCTTTTCCCAGAGCAGCACACCCCCCTGCCTGAGGCCTTGGTTGCTGCTTTCTCCCAGTCCCCAGGAATCCACCCTCCTGTCTGTGGCCGCCTCTCACAGGCCTCCATCTTGTTCAGGCCTGGATTATTGCAGCAGCCTCCTAACCTGCCCCCTCCTTGTTTTATCTTGCCTCCCCTCTACCCTGTGGCTCATCCCAGTGACCTTTATAAAGCAGCAGTTGCACCCTGTGGTTCCTGGGCTTAAAATCTTTTCCTGGCTCCCTGGTGCCCTCTGGGTATGATCTAAACTCTGTCATAGGACTTGCATGGCCCTCCTTGGTCACTCAGCTTCTTTCCTCTCCCTGCTCCCGCCCTGCCTCACCACCCCGCCCTGCCACACCCTGCCCGGCCTTAGGGCTATGGCTTGGGCTTCCTCTCCTGCAAGCTTCCCTGCATCTCCACCTGCCCAGTTCAGGTGCCCTGAGCAGTCTGCACCCCCACCTAGCACTTGACACTCTTCATTGCTAGGGGCTGGGCTTGAGGGGGCAGTGTCTGTGACTGGTTGGTCAGTGTCTTCCATGTGTCCTGTTGTATCTGGCACATGGCACTTCCTGGGTGAGCGGTGCTTAGACAGTGAGTGAGTCATTCAGCGGGTGTGTTCAACACAGGCTATTAGGTCCAGCATGGTCCTCTGCCCCCCTGTTTCTTCTCCGTCTCCTTCCTATCACGCTCCTGAGTTCCCCAGCCTCCCTCTCCTGGCCTGCAGGCTCTGGCCTTGTGCCTCACCGCTGTCATCCCGTCAGGCACCAGGGCCTGGGGTTTGGCTCCCTTCATGTGCCTCCTCTGTCCCTTACTCTTCCTTCCATGACACTGCTTTCATTCACACCTTCTTCATATTTCCTCTGGGAAGACATCCCCAGGACTGTGCTTCTGACAGCCTCTCCCCTGCTTGCTCCTTCCTTCACATTGGGTAGGACCTTCCAGAAATGCAGGTCTGAACATTTCACTGCTCTGCCAGCAGTCCTCTGTCATTCCCAAACACCCAGGCTCAAATTCATGCTGCTTAGCCCAGCCCGCTCCAGGCCCATCTCTTTCACTTTGTTTCCTGCCACGGCTGCAGACCCACCTGCTCGGCAGCTCCCCTGAACACCTAGCTTCTAGATGGCCGAGCTTCTCACTGCCCCCCTACCTTTGCCTCTGCCTTGTCCTCTGCTTCTAGCACCCTTTTCTTGTCTTCTCCCCTTGCCTCCTGCTTGTACTTGCTACTTCCTTCAAGCATCGCCTTCCTGGGGGAAGCCTTCCCTGACCACCCCGAGTCCATTCTTACCATGGTCACTACTTCCTTTCCTGGCGAGCCTGTGTGTGGGGTCCATTCTGAGCCAGGCACTGTTCTGGGGGCTGGAGGGACAGCAAACAGATCAGGAGACTTCCTGTGCTCACAGGGCTTATATCACTGTAGCAGTCTCTGTGTCTGGTTGTCTCTGACTGGACTCCAAGCTCCTCGACAAGAACCTAGCAGTGCTGCTCAGGAAGCCCTCAGTCCAGCAGGCATCCTGGCCCCCCCACCCGGTGTTCATTTCCCTTGAGTGCAGTTATTTCCAGGGGCCCGAGGGGACTGGCTTGTACTAGGCCAAGCGCTCCCTTCCACCGCCCCTGCTGGGAGGCCTATTTATGGGAGGCAGGAGATGCCCTCGCCAGCTCGGGGTCTCACTGCTGGGCCTGGGATCCTTGCAGAGGCTGTTGGCAGGGAGGCCATATGTGGACCGCTCCCCATGTGCCTCTCCTGCTGTATGCAGGGTTTGAGTCTCCTGCAGGACCCACCCCGTCGCCCTCAGCGCCCCCAGCACCCCCGTGGCAGGGCCGCAGTGTGGCCAGCTCCAAGCTCTGGATGTTGGAGTTCTCTGCCTTCCTGGAGCAGCAGCAGGACCCTGATACGGTAGGTCCTGGCCTGGGTCTGGCCAGGTCTCTTACCTGTTCCTGTTTCTGGAGGCTCCTGCTCCTGTGTCTTCTCCAACTCTTCTCCCACCTGCTTCTGGCTTCCTGCCCTGGCCTTCTGCCCCCCTCCACTTTTGGGTTTCACCTAGATCTCTTGCTCTTCCCAGTCTTCCCTTCCTCTGGCCCTCCCTCCCCTTTCCTTTTCTTCTTCAACCCCTCCCTCTTCTTTCCTCATGCAGCCTCTCCTCCTCCCTTCCTCCCCTGGCACAGTGATGCTTCCACCCTAAAGCCCTCCCCAGGTTTCTTTGTCCATCCCAGTTCTCTTGGCCTCTCCCTCTGCTGCTCCCTCCCTGACCTGAATTCTTCCCACCCAGTGCCCACCACCCCCTCACTGATCCATCCTTTCCCCTGTGGCTCTGAGGAGCCTCCTGGGTCTGACCCACATCCTTGTGATGCCAGCTGAGAGCGGGGCCCCGCCCCACCCTGTCCCCTTCAGTGTCCCATGTCCTGATTGACCAGTGTCACCTGCAAAGTTCAGAGGAGGAGATGCTAGAGGAGTCTGGGCCCGGGGGACTTCATAGGCCATTTCACTTTGCTGTTTTCAAACTTGTTTTTTCAGCTGAGGAACCATTAATCAGACTCTTACTCAGAAGCCTGGTGCGTACAACAAAAGAAGTAGATTTACTTTGGTTGTAGCCAGAGGTAGCCCAGCCCCCATCTGCGGGGTGGAGCATAGTTTGAAAACACCTTATCTAGGTCAATGGTCTGACATCCCAGATGAGATAAGAGAGGCCCAAAGGTAGAAAATGACTTGCCTACGGATATTCACTGACCCAGCCAGGACTAAGAGTGACCCCAATACCTACCATTTAATGAGTATCTATTAGGTGCACACACCACCCTGGATGTTCCATACCTATTAACTTTGCTTGACATTGGGTCCTTTTACTGTCTCCATTATTCCAGTTGGGAAAACAGGCCTGGAGAGGTGAAGTCATTCCTTGCTCCAGGTCGTATGGCTGTGATCTGAGCTCTGGTCTTCTCCATCTGCCCTGTTCCCTTGCACCTGTCCCTCAATCCAGCTCTTCTCTCCACAGTACAACAAGCACCTGTTCGTGCACATTGGCCAGTCCAGCCCAAGCTACAGTGACCCCTACCTCGAAGCTGTGGACATCCGCCAGATCTATGACAAATTCCCAGAGAAGAAGGGAGGACTCAAGGAACTCTTTGAACGGGGACCTTCTAATGCCTTTTTTCTGGTGAAATTCTGGGTAAGCCCTTTGATAAACCCTTCCTTCCAATCTCTAGGACATTGATGATAATGAGGAGAAAGGAGGAAGAGTGGGCACCAGGAGCCTTTTCATGAGTGGAAACCTGGGAAGGTGGGGCTACTGCAAAGGGCAGCGCAAATGCAAACTGGCCACTCGGTGGTAGGAGGCTGATACAGGAGGAGGCAGTGGTGCTGGAGGACTGAGCGTGCAGAATCAGGTACTTTTCTGAGAGGTTGTGATGGCAGCCGAGTCCAGGCAAAAAGTGCAGCCACAAAGGGGGCTGTTGTACTGGGAAGAGACCTCAGGGGACTCTGAGGGAGGGGTAGGTGAAGAGCCAACATGAACTCTCTGAATTCCAAGTCCCGAATTCATTTCAGGGGTGGAGCAGGGCAGCTGTTGGGTTAGGCAGGGCTTGGAGAAGTGGGCTGGAGGATTAGGATAACTCACCCCAAGAGAGAACACCTACCCATCTCACCCAGCTTAGCCTATAGCCTGAGCCTCTGCTGCCTTCCCTGCCTCACCCTGGGACAGGTGCTGTGTGAGGAGAGCTCCCTGCTTTTGCAAACCGCCTCTAAGATGAGCAGGTACATGCTCTGGGAGCTTACCTTCCAGGGGCCCAGTACACACAAAAGGGGTGCAGGGTGGGGAGGCAGACAAGTACACACTGAACCAGCAGTGGGCACATTACATGTAATTCCAGGTGGCTTTCAGGCCCCTGGCTGGGACCCTCCATCCTGGCTGCCCACATCAAACCTTTGGGCCAGGCTGTATCTAGAAGAGGCAGTGCTGGGACTGCGACTTGGAGTTCCTGAGCTTTAAGGTGCTGCAGGCTTGTTGCGGGAGCAGAATGGGATTGGACTCGACCTATAGGGATGGGCAAGATCCATCCAGCAGAGCCTGGGAAAGGCTCTACAGCCTGGCACAAGTGTAAGGACCATGGGCTCCGGAGGGGAAAGGCATGGGCACAGGTGTGTGAAAGTAAAACTGGGGCAGCCCCAGTGGCCCAGCGGTATAGCGCCGCCTTTGGCCCAGGTCGTGATCCTGGAGACCCGGGATCAAGTCCCATGGACTCGCTGCATGGAGCCTGCTTCTCCCTCTGCCTGTGTCTCTGCCTCTCTCTCTCTGTGTCTCTCATGAATAAATAAATAAAATATTAAAAAAAAAAACTGGTAATGGGACTCCGATCCTGAAGGGACTCCTCGTCATATAGAGTCTGGGTTTTATCCAACCCAGGATGAAAAATAGGTAATATTTTCTTTTACTTTATCTTATTTTAAATAAATGAATATTAATAGTTATATAATGAATTAATACTAAGAGGCAAATCATTCATCAGGTCCCCCTCTCTCCTGGAGATTCTTCTCCCAGGTGCCTCTGTGCTGCTTCAGTCTGAACTGGTTGTTCTCGACCTGCTGTGTGGATGTCACCTGGACACTGCATTTACTCTTCCTCCTGTATGGAATCTATGGTTTTCTAGATGTCTACTTCTCTCTGGTGTCCCTGCTTATCTTGCAGGAAAACATTCTCTAGTACCTCCCTAAGGAAAAATGTGTGATAAATGTTCAAGTCTTTGCCTGGTTGAATGCCTATTGTTTTGTGCTTGGTTGATAGTTAGACTGGGTATAGAATCTAGGTCACAAATATTTTCCCAGAGATGATTTTCAAGAATCATTCTTCAGTGCGTTGCTCCATTGTCTTCAAACACGAGTAGTCTGATTACATTTTAATTCTCTATCCTTTGTTATATCACTTGGGGTTTTCTTTGTTTGGTTGTTGTTGTTGTTTTTTTTTTTTAAGATTCATTTATTTATTCATGAGAGACCCACACAGAGAGAAAGAGATAGAGACAGAGACATAGGCAGAGGGAGAAGCAGGCTCCCTGAGGGAAGCCTGACATGGGACTTGATCCCAGACCCCAGGATCACACCCTGAGCCGAAGGCAGATGCTCAATTGCTGAGCCACCCAAGTGTCCCTAGATTTTGTTTTTTATCTCTGAAAAATTTGCATTTCCTTTCTATCTCTTATGTTAAGTTTCAGATAGAGGAGCTTTGGGATATGTGTGTTTTTACTTTCTGATTTTTTTAAGCCAGGCACTTTGAATTGTGAAATTAGTGTTTCTCAACTTGGGGAAAATTTACTTATATTATTTCTTTCTCTCTGTTCGCTCTGTTTTTTTTTTTTTTAAGATTTTATTTATTCAAGAGAGACAGAGAGAGAGGCAAAGACATAGGCAGAGGGAGAAGCAGGCTCCCTGTGGGGAGCCCGATGTGGGACTCAGTCTTGGACCCCAGGATCATAACCTGAACCAAAGGTAGATGTTTATTTAACTGCTGAGCCACCCCGGTACCCCTGACTCTGTGTTCTTATCCAAGAAACCATATCCTGGATTTACCCTCTATGATTTTTACAGTTTCTTGATTTTCCACCTCATTTTCTTGGAGATTTCCTTAACTTTATCTTTTAATTCTTCTGAGTTGATTGAGTGTATCTGAGTACATATTATGTAAAACCTGGTACAACAGTGGCATAAATAATTAGTTTATTTTTCTTTCATGTAAAGTAAGTCTGGAGGTAGACTATCCAGGGCTGGTCCAGCAGCTTCTTAAAATCACTGGAGATCTGTCTCCTCTCCAGCTGTCTCTATACACAGTGCAGGGCTTCTGTCCTCAAGGTCATGGAGGCTTCTGGAGTTGTTTTTTTTTTTTTTTTAAGATTTTATTTATTCATAACAGACACAGAGAGAGATAGGTTTTTTTTTTAATTGATTTATTCATGAAAGACACAGAGAGGCAGAGACACAGGTAGAGGGAGAAGCAGGCTCCCTGTGGGGTGCCTGATGTGGGACTCGATCCTGGGACTCCAGGACCACACCCTGAGCCAAAGGCAGACGCTCAAACACTGAGCCACCCAGGTGTCCCTCACTGAAGGTTTTTGAATAGGGCAAGATGTGGCCAGGGTTGTCCTGGGTTGGATAAATCAACTGCCCAGCCTGGAGGTGAGGAGCAGGCTGTACTAGTATAGGTCAGGTCTCTTCAGGACCTAAGCCAGAGAGGCCGGCTGTAGGGGGTGATGTGTGGCAGGACATCTTTCTCCCTTTCTTTAGGAGGGGTGTAACCCCCTTCACTTCCCCTCTTTTCTCTATACTCTCCCTGTCAGCCCTGGACCTGGGAACAGGAACTAAGAGGCTTTACCTTGGGTGGCTGTCAGCACCACTCCTGCCCGTCCAGCTGTGCTCTTTCCCGCTGTGCATCCAGGGAGGCTCCTGCCTCTCTTGGGGGAAGCCTGCATCCGCTCTTGAGTACTCCTTCCTTTAGACCCCCAAGCCAGTCCAGGCTTAGCCTTGACTTGGAAGAAGGAGCTTTGGGAGATGATGACTCTTTCTCAGCTCTGGCTCAGGTACCCTGGATTGTAATTTTGGGTCAGAAGGAAGGCCTGGTTGGCTGGAAGCATTTGTGGAAACAGCATCTCTGGCCGGTGGGGGGAGATGGCAAATCTGGGGCCTTTTTCACCAGCTCTTGGCTTCTTTTAGTTTCTAATAATATTCTGTGTTCTAGTCACCCTCCAGATGAGGACCATCCTAGGCCTACTATTTCACAAAGTGGGGGAACTGAGGCATGGAGGTAGTGTGGGCCTGGCTTTGAGACACCCCAGCCAGGATGCACCTCTTTTTCCTTTGGTTGTCCTTGTGATATAAGTGTTGTGACCTAGGTCAGGGTAGTTGGTGGAAGGTTACGCCAGGCACTGTTCATCGCTGCATGTATCAGCACGTTTCATGCTTGCTACAACCCTAAAGGCAGTTTCTGTGGACAGCCTCGTTCAGTAGAGGGGAAACTGAACACAGAGTGAAATGACTTGAGGGTCACCCAGTTCCTAGTGGCAACACAAGGATTTACACTCAGTGTGTCTCTAGGGTGTGCACTTGGAACTGTGACACTGAACTGGCTGACCTTACAGAGTGCCAGGGGTACCCTTCATGCAGGGTCCCGTGCTCCCCCTGCTCCTGTTGGAGAAGGCTCTGGGTCGCCTAAGAAAGGACCCAGAAGACCCTGAGGAATAGCAGGTGGTGGCAATGTGGGGATTGCAGACTCAACTGTGCATCCAATGTAGAGTCGGGCAGTTGGGCTTCTTGGGTTTTCTAGAATCCAGAGTTCCCTTCCAGAAAGTGAGGAGTGAGAGTGCCCAGGTAGGGAAATGTAATTAGAATGTTCCTCTCCAATTTTGCTTGTGGTCCACATCCCCTCCTTCCTCTTGATGTTTTCGGGGAGGTTGGAAGTAAGGATTGATGGCAGAAGGGAAGGGAGGGGACAGTTGGTGCTGGGGAACTTGACCAGGTGGGTTCCCCATGTGGCCTCTACGTTTGCTCATGGGCCATGCACATGGCCCTCCTGTGTGGACCCAGCTGGCCCTTGTCTTCTAGGAACTCACATTCCTTGTGAGAGAATCTGGAGCAGGTCTCAGGGTCCTGGGGCAGCAACCAGTATACAGATACAGGGAAGTGTGGTGGACTGCAAGGGGCACCCTCCTGGTGTGTCAGGGGAGGCCAGGAGGGCAGCAATGGGCTCCAGCTGGGGTGGAGAAGCTCTCATCTCAGCTCTGCCGCTCGAGACCTGTGACCTGAGCAAAGCTCAGCTTCTCTAGGCCCTTGTCTCTGTCTGAACAATCTGCGGTTTTGTTCTTGACGGCCTGCAGGGGACTGTGTCTCTGAGGACTGTCATGTGCCCCTGCCCCTTGCTTGAGCCCCTAGAGCCAGGTCATCTCTGAAGACCAGACACTTGGTCAGGGCAAGGATGGGTGAAATCAGAGATGGGGGCATGTCAGTGGCCAGGGCTCCTTGGCAGTCATCTGGTCCCTCCTGTGTGGGGAGGGTTAAGGCACCAGGGAAGTACAAATCTGTGATGGGGGGAAAATAAATGCTCCTGTTTGCTAAGCATGAGAGTTTTGGTCAGCCATGGGGTCCTCATACCCAGCTCTGGTGTTCCTGCCATCTGGAACCCCTTTCTCCTGCACCCTGGTGTGGCCACTCCCTCTCCTGCCAACAACTCCTGTGAGGTGGGCCACACACAATTAGAAAGGAGAGCTGTGCAGGCAAGGAAACAGAGCCACCTCCCCTGAAGCCTGCCTTCCTTTCTTTTCCAGCTGGCAGTATTCTCAGCCCAGCCCAGGTTGTGCATGCTAGGGAGTTGACCAGGGCCCTCTTAGAGTGGGAGGAGGACTTTGTCCTCTTAGCTGCCTCCCCCCTACCCGCCCCCCCCCCGCCCCAAAAGTTACTGTTCTTTCTTTGGGATGGCTGTTGTGGTTCCTAGGCTCATGGCTGCCAGGACAGATCATTTCCAGCAGGAATTGGCCTCAGGGTGCAGGAGGGGTCGAGTTGTGAGGCCGTGCTCTGTTGCATGTGACATGCAGGGTCTGGGGAAGGGACTGAGGAGCTGAAGTTGCTCCTTCCTTCTCCACAACATGTGGGACCAGCCGGGGCCATCTCTGTCTGTGGGACAGGGGAGAGGGAGCTCTTGGATCACTGAGGGCTGTTAACACCAGTCTGCAAACTGAAAGTTCTGGGCAGAGGGTGAGCTGAGGCCTCGGAGGGAGGAGAGTGCCCCAGACAGGCCCCCATCCCAGCCTGCTGCTCCCTTCAGGCCCTGACATTTCTCCCAGGCACATACCAGCACATGACAATGGATCTGAGCCCCTCCAGCCCCCGCTCCTGGGCTGCGGCTGTCTGTCTCGGCTCATCTGTCTGTCACCCAATCCCCTACACCTGTCCTAGGCCCTGCCTGGGCTGCCCACCCGCACCACGGCTATGAATAGGGTGGAGGGAGGGGAGTGTGGGGGCATTCAGAGGGCAGGAGGGTGAGCAGGGAGGTGCAGTCTTCCTCTGAGGTTGAGAAAGAGAAGCCAAGCCTATTAGTGAGGGGGCTGCGGGGGTGCCCAGGAAGTATCTGAAGTGTGGCTGCAGGAGAGGACTGGCAGGGTAGTCAGGAAGACGGAGCACAGAGGACAAGATGAAGTACTGGCCATTGCTTGTCCGTGTCACTGGCTGTGTCTCCCAGCTCTGTGCAGCGTAACCACAGGGCAGGTCCCTGGGCAGATGTCAGATGGCCATTTGCGGGATGTTTATCTCTCTCCCACTACCTCCTTATCTCTTTTGTCTCTATCTCTCTGTGCCACTCAAACACCATCACATTTACCCTACTTGCTGTCGCACAAGTTCTGAGTTCCTTAATAGCAGAGACAATGTCTCAGCCTCTTTGGGCTCTACTCCCCTTGGCCGTGCTGGGCTGGGGCAGGGTAAGTGGGTGACTGCAGGATGGAAGGGCCAGGTGAGTGAGAGCTATAACCAGGGCCTGTGGGGGTAGGGGGAGGCTGTGGGGGGGGTGCTGACAGGTTGGTGGGGTGGGTGGAGGGGTGATGTGGGGCTCACCTCTCTCCTCACTCTGTGCCACCGAGGCCACGCACAGCTTTCATTACAGGCCCACCTCTCCCCAGGAGTGGCCCAGGCCCTGGGGCAGCTTAGTCCTTCCTGGCAGGGTGTTTACCATCTGGGAGGGGCCGAGGCCACCCGGAACCGATCCTGGCATGTCCAGGGCACTGCGGGGGTGCGAGCAGCTGTGACCTTTGTGTGCTGGGAAGAACCTGGGAGGGACTGGGCCAATGCTGGTGCACAGCGTTCTTTTAGGTGACATATGAATACAGACTTCTGTAATAGTTATGCAGTTATTATCACGTAAATCATAAAAAGGTAGAATCCCTGACTGACTTCACAGGTAACATTGCTGAGCATGGAGTTAAGGACTGAGCGGATTTCGGAGAAACCAGGAGGGGCAGCATAGGGCCTGTGGTGGGTGGTGCACAAGTACACCAGAATCAAGAGGGCCCACCAGTAGCTGAAGTCCAAGAGGCATCATTCTATGTTCTGGCCTTGCTGCCTGGTCAGTACCCGCCCTCCTGCGTTCAGATGCCTGCCCTTCCCAGGCGCCCCGGCACCATGCCAGCTCTTTCTCACGCTTCTGCCCCATGCTTCTAGCTGCATACTTGGAGTGAACTCCTTTTTAAAGAAGTTTGGCAAACTTGTTCTCCTTAGGAGGAGCATGTGACTTAGCAGGGAAAATAGGAGACGGAGAGCTGGATTTTGGTCCCAGTTCGCCTTATACATAATTGTGTAAGTCCCAACTGCCCTTAATTCCCAGTCCACCTGAGGACTGAGCCAGCCCTGGGGTGGGATGCGGGGTGTGTACAGCACTGCTGTTTATTCCAGAGGCTGAACCTTGATGTGAACATAGCTGTAATTGCTTGTTCTCCTGTCTTCCTAGAGGCCTCATTAAAACCATCACAGGGTATGCTAAATGTATGTCATTCTCTGCGACATGAAAGCAGCCCATTTTCTTTTTCTCATAAAATTAACACATCCTCATTCTGTTCCATAACCTGCCTTTTTTTTCCCCACTCAACAATTGTAGTCCATTCATAATAATAAATATAGGTCCTTCTCAGCTTTTTTTGTGGCTACATAATATTTTTATTGTGCTGTAAGACATTTACCACCCCCCTCCAGTCTAGAGAATGTTCTTGCTCTTGGAAAACCTTTTTCTGTAAAGGAGAGAAACCTGATGACTGAGCATCCCCTAATGGCCAGTAACAGAACTGCCTGGTGCCTGGCTCTGAATGGTGCCAGAACCTTCCCAGGGCTCTGGGGAGACCCTCATTTGAACAGCATCTAGAGCTTCTGCTGCATCGGTAGGGCTGCACTCTGGGGCCAGTTTGGCAGTGATTTCAGGCTAGTTCTGTTGGTGGGAGGAGAGGCTGCACCCTCAGACTCAGCCTTTTTAAATCGGTGTGTTTGCTCCGAGTTCTAAGTTGCTCTGTTAGCACCCCTGGCTCAGATGGGATGACTCAGTGTGGGCCCTAAGGTTCTGGGGATGGGGACCTGTAAGTGGCTTAGGTCTTCAGAAATGCAGTATCTGCCTTGGAGCTGCCAAGGCACTGAGTTGTCTCATTCGGCATCTACCTCCCTCTCCTGTAACTCTGCCAGATTCAATTAAGCGCTGGAGTGGGAGCCTGAAGACTTGGGGCCTGTCACTTGTCAACTGTGTGGCATTGGGCTGGGCCTGTGGTCAGGGAGCCTCACTGATCAAACTGAGGCCAAGATCCTGCTGTTTGCCTCTTGCAGGGGATGTGTGTGAAATTGGGACTCTTACTCCATGTTTTCTAAGAGGAAAATTTCAAATCAACCCAGCGTCCAGTGGGAGGCACTTTAGGCTCTGCTTTCAGCAGAGGATGAAGAGATGTGTGTTGGGGGGATCCCTGGGTGGCGCAGCGGTTTGGCGCCTGCCTTTGGCCCAGGGCGCGATCCTGGGGACCCGGGATCGAATCCCACGTCGGGCTCCCGGTGCATGGAGCCTGTTTCACCCTCTGCCTATGTCTCTGCCTCTCTCTCTCACTGTGTGCCTACCATAAATAAATAAATAAAAATTTAAAAAAAAAGAGATGTGTGTTGGGGAATAGCAAAAAGCTTATGTAGAAGACGAGGGGCTCACTAGTCAGGCTGGGGAGTGAGAGTCGTGTTCTCTCATGGCAAGGGGCTCGGTGAGAGGGTTTTAACCATGGAATGATGCAGTCAGACTTGTCTTGTGAAGAGAACTCCGAGAAGTTAGAGAATGAACCAAAGGGAAGAAGACTGGCTTTGGTAAGGGGGATGAGTCTGGAGGCTGAGGCAGGCATGTAAAAAGGTCAAGGGTGGCTTGAGCCGCCTTAGAGATGGGTGAGATGGGTGAGAGGCCAGCCCCCAGGGCCATTTCCAAAAGAGCATTAGCAGGGTCCAGTCACCAGCTGAACCGGAGGATGAGACATAGCAGAGTCCCAGCATCCCCTCCTACCCCTCTGCCAGTCTCCCATTTGGCTTTCTGTTCCCACACTGACTTCACCATCAAAATTGACTCTGGAAAGGAGCTAACAACTTCATACTAAAATAGAAATGACTGATATAGATTCTGATGTTTGTACTTTGACAAGAGCAAAGCCTTTGACTCTTAAAACTTGAAGTCCAGAAGGCCCCCATTGGGGGCCCACGTGCTGGGTATATTGGTGCCTGAACGGGTAGCAGAGACCTGAGACTAATGTAGATGCCAGTGTTCTCTTTTTACATTATTGAGGCAACACAGCCTGACTTCATGCCAGGCCTAGATGTGGAGGAAGGAGGACACTTTCCAAGATCCTACTCTCCAAGTTCTTTTTAGGCCCTTATGATGTCTTCCTGGGCCTAGAACCTGGACTGTGGCTCCTGCTGACTCACCTGTCCACTGTTTGTCTTCCCCGTGTCTTCCTCCAGGCAGACCTCAACACCAATATTGAGGATGAAGGCAGCTCCTTCTATGGGGTGTCCAGCCAGTACGAGAGTCCGGAGAACATGATAATCACTTGTTCCACCAAGGTCTGCTCTTTCGGCAAGCAGGTGGTAGAGAAGGTGGAGGTAGGAGCCCACCCTGCGCGCTTGTTCAACCAGGCCCTCCGTCGATTCTCACTGGCCTTCATCCTTGTCCCCACCTCTTTCTCCAGATTTGTCTGAGTCAGTGAGTCCCCTCACGAGTCTGGCAATTACTGGTTACCCACCTCATCTCAAACACCACTAGATGTGGGGCAGGTACCAGGGAAGAAACAGGGCTCATCCCAGGGCTTCCCAGCCCCGGCTGCACCTGCAGCTTGCTGGCGACTTTAGAATCACATTGGTGTCTGAAACCTGCTCCCGCAGCAATAGTAAAACACTCTTCAGGTTATTATTATCATTATTTTTTAGATTTTATTTATTTATTTGAGAGAGGGAGAAACAGCACAAATGGAGGGGGAGGGGCAATGGAAGAGGGAGAAGCAGGCTCCCCACTGAGCAGGGAGCCCTGTGTGAGGTTCAATCCCAGGATCTGAGCCAAAGGCAGATACTTAACCGGCTGAGCCACCCAGGTGCCCCTTTCCAGTTATTTTCAATTAAATGTTCATTTTGAGATAATTAGGGCTTCACACACAGTGTAGTTGTAACCTCTTGTATAACTAGAGTATAATATCGGCATTCAGGAAATGGACGTTGAGGTGGCCTAGCAGCCTGATTCAGATGTTGCCTGCTTACATGTACTCGTGCATGTTAGCACATGTGAGTGTGCAGCCAGGTCTGAGTCACTGCTCTGTGCCATCTTGCCTAGTGCCACTATGCCTATGTCTTCAAGCTCCCTCCTCCTCTACCTGGTGTGCCTGTCACTGACCTAGAAGGGAGGCTCTTTTCTCAGGGGCCTTAGGCCTCCTGCCTTTTCTTCCTGCTTGAGAGTGAGTGAGTCATGGAGCTTCCCCATAGAGTTGGGCCTGGGCTGGAAGTGGTCAAAAGAGATTCTAAGCCCCCGCTGCCCCCTGGGTCCTGCAGACAGAGTATGCCCGCTATGAGAATGGCCACTACTCATACCGCATTCATCGGTCCCCACTCTGCGAGTACATGATCAATTTCATCCATAAGCTGAAGCACCTGCCCGAGAAGTACATGATGAACAGCGTGCTGGAGAACTTCACCATCCTGCAGGTGTGTGTGTGTGTGTCGTGGGGACAGGGGCTTTGCAGTTGTGGGGCCAGAGGGGATCGATGGGTCGAGCAAATGACGTGCCCTTGTTTGGGGCTTTAACTCTTGCCTTTTCCTTCACCTGCAGGTGGTCACCAACAGAGACACGCAGGAGACGTTGCTGTGCATTGCATATGTCTTTGAGGTGTCAGCCAGTGAGCACGGGGCTCAGCACCATATCTACCGGCTGGTGAAAGAATAAGAGACTCAGGGAGCAGGGAGGGGGGAAGAGATGTCATGTGTGCAGGGACATGGGGAGGGAATCTGCAGGGGCAGCCTCTGAAATGCCAGGAGAGCTGGGAGGTCATGACTCTTCCTATCCAGCAACAACCTGCAGCGCCCAACCCCAAATAAACCCAAGATGGTGTGTATTTTCAGAGGACCTGATCTGGCTGTCTGAGCCTCGGGAGGGACTGGGAGAAGGAGGGGGGCAGACTGGGAAGCAGGCCAGAAGCAGCCCCAGAGATCCCCAGTGGACTCAGCCAGGAATGGTGCCAGATGCTGAAGCTTCAGATGGGATGGTTCCTCTGTCACCACTCGAGCCCTGAACTGTGCTGCTGGCCATGCTGGGAGGCTGCAGGATAGGCCTATGGGCTCTCTGTTCTGTGCGTGTCCAGGTGTGTACCTGCGGGTACTTGTGCACAGTGTCCTGGCCACCTGTGTTGCCCCTGCCTCAGAACAGCTGACAGGGATGCTCAGTGCGCTCAGGGGTTGAGTTTTAGGTATGGAGGTGACAGTTGTTGGGAAGTTTGAAAGAGGACATGGCCAGAGCTCTCCGGATAGTTTTCATCCATCCCCAGTGGGAATGGATCCTGGAGCCACACTGACTGCTGGGGAGGATTGGTTCCACATCACAGGAGCCTGAGACAGGGAGGAGGTTTAGGTGGTGAGGCTGGTGTTACACAGCATCCTTTGTGAGAAGGGGGAGTGAAGGCCAAGAAAGTGGGTCAGAGGTTTGCAGTGGACCAGTGGTCTCTAAGACCACACAGTTTTGAAGTTCTGCGAGTCCTTCCTCAGGCTGCCTCCCAGCCAGGGTGCCTGCTGGGTGGTGACTGCATCGGGGCTAGCCCAGGCTGTCCACTCCCTCCCCAGACAATAGTAGTTTCTGTGTGCCCTGTGGATGAAGGAGGGCTGTGGAACCCACCCAAGCCTCACAGGAACCAGCGAAGGGCTCCCTGGTTTACCTCCTTGGAGAGCTGTATGGGCTAGGGTGTTGGTGGTCCTGGCTTCAGGCCTGGTATTCCTAGCTGTCTGACCTCCAGCAGATTTCTCCACCAGTCTGAGGCCTGGTGTCTTTTGCTCTCTGTAAAGGGGAAGGCAACAGCACCTCCCTTAGAAGCCCTCAGTGAGAAAGAGAGCTAATGTCTGTAAAGTGCCTGGTGCAAGATGCACTGAATAAATGTGATCACAATTAGTTTAACCCTCCGCTTCATCAGGGAGGCCTGGGTCTAGCTCTTTGCTGCATCTCGTGGCCCTCTCGTATCGCCCTGTAATGGGAACCATAATTCTGGAAACCTGGAGCAGAAGGGACCCAGGATTCAACCTACAGGTGTTTACTTTGTGTGCAGCACTCAGGGAGATATTATACAGGAATACAAAAGTGAGTAAGACAGAATCTAGGAGGTGTTATGGAATGGTGGTTAGGATCAAGGGCTTGAGTCAGACAGCTAGGATTGAAATCCTGGCGCTTGGCCACTGACTAGCTCTGTGGCCTTGGGGCAAGTTACTTAATTTCACCATGCCTCAGTTTCCCCATCTGTAAAATGGGTATAATAAGAGTACCTACCTCGTATATGTAGAGTGCCTCAAATAGTGCTGAGCACGTAAACATGTTCGATAAATATACATTATTTTTAATAGGAGCTTACAGTCTAAAAAGTCAGATTGGATAGTTCCTAAATGGAGTTGGTTGATCCCCACAGAAACTGGAGTTCAGAGGTAGGAGAGAGCAGGGTATGGAGGATCCAGGGAAAAGGTTGCGATTGAGAGGGGCTGCCCCTTAGAGGGTGGGTATTTACAAAGGCTGGGCAGCATCCCAGATGGGGAAAAAAAGCCAGCATCCAGTGTCCTCTTCTCGTCAAAAAGCAACTTTAACTAAACGCCTCTGGACTGCTGCTAGACCTCGTGGCAAGTTGCATAACTTCACTACATGTGGGGCCCGGCTCTCATCAAAAGATGTGCTGTGGAGGTGGGGCGTGGGGTCCCTGAGGCCCTGAGCAGACTGCATGTGCTCACATGTCCACGGGCAGCCACTGTCACAACCCTTGCCCTCTCTCCTGCCCTCTCCCCTCGGGATTTTTGGATAAGGAGACCTCATGCTGCCTCCCCTTCCAGCTTGACTGTGAACCTTCAGGCAAATACTCAAGAAGGATGTGTGAGCAGCCTCTTGACCATGGCACAAATGCACGAGTTAAGGAGATGATCTTTTGCATTATGGATGGGAAGGAGTCAGTGCAGGTGTGGGGACCCACTCTTTGCTGTGTGTTTTCCCCTCTCTCTATAGACTGACCTCAGTAGCCTCATGGAAAGTCATGTACTTCTAGTCCTAAGTTCCAGACCAGTCAGCCATGGGGATATGGGGATTGCCAAAAGAGATGCCTCTGCCCCTGGCATAGTGCAGATGGGGCCACTGGGGCCAGTGGGAGCCCTGACGTGCCCCACCTGTCTTACAGGCTTGTCCAGCACTCCCCTACGCCCTCTGGATCGGGTGCCCATCCCTCCCTTTCAGCTTTGGCTCCGCACGTTCCCCTGGCCAGTCATGCCCTTCCTTTGTCTCTCACTGGAGAACTGTTACTCATTCTTTAAGGGCCAATGTGGAGTCCCCTCTCTCATGCGGAAGGGTCAGTCATACCTGCCCTGTGTGGCAGGAGCCTGCCACCCTGACCCAGAACACAGGTACCTCTGTCACCTCTCCTGATCCTTACCCAGTGGGTGCTGTGCCATCCCCATTTGAAAGATCAGAAGGTGGAGCACAGAGGAGTGAACTGGCTTGCTTAGAGTATTAATGTGTGTATTCATCCAGCTGACAGATGCTTCCTTAACTTCCACGTTGTGTGGGGTGGGCCCTGGGAATGTGTCTCTGACCAAGACAGACAAGGTCCTTGGGGAGCTTCCGTTTCATTGAGGAAGAAAACAAAGTGAGCAAGTAACAGGACATGCAGACTGTGACAAGTGCTTTCAGAGCAGAGAGGGGTACGCAAGTTGAGAGTCACAGGGGAAGCCTTGGGGGCCCAGGGGAGGTGGGGGAAGGCATTGCGAGAAGAGGCAGGGAGGTATGGGTGCAGGGCCAGTGCAGAGAGTGAGAGCTGCATGAGGTACGGGGGCAGCAGGGGCTAGATCCTGCCTAGGCCAGCTGTCCAGACCTGGGGTTGGGGGTGTGGGGGACAGCTCAGCTTCCTCCACTGCCCAACACCCGTTGCTTGGCAAGGACTTTGGATTTTACTCCATGTGAAGGGAGGTCCTGGAAGTGTTTGAACTGAGGGTCTTTTTGATCTTTAATCTTTGGTTTTCTTTAGAAATCAGCACTGGGGCTGCTGGGTCCCACAGAGAAGTATGTGCAGTTGTCTGCTCCTGAGTCTCTCTGTCCTCCTAGATTCAATGCCTGTGGGTGGAGACTGTAGCTTCCTTGGTCTGTTCCTTTCTGTTAACTAAGCACATCTGGAACATAGCAGGTGCTTAGTAAACGTTTGCTGAAGGAGTGCACGGGTACAAGGCAGTGTGATCCATGGCGTCTAGGCCTGGGAGGTAAGGGCCCTGAGCTCGCCTGGGTGGAGCCCTTTGCCCTCCTGACCATCTAGAGCGGGGGGGGGGGGGGGGGCGGTGTTGCTGAGATGGGGATGTGACAGCAGGCTGCCTCCGGGGCCCCCAGTGAACGTCCATAGAGTGGGATGATCTTTCTAAGGAGAAAAACCCACACAGGACTTGAGGGTGTGTGTGTGTGTGTGTGTGTGTGTGCATGTGTGTGTAGGTACCAACTCTGCCCTTTCAGGACTGAAGCCAGTGGAGTGAGGATCAAGGGGTGGCCATGGCTCAGGCCGCTCATAGACTGTGTGCCTTGGCCATCACCTGCTCCCTCTCCCTAGCCATAGGCTCCAGGGGACTGTGGGCAGGGTGTGACGGGGCTGGAGGTAGGAGGGCCAGCAGCTCATAGAAATAGGGGTGGGGGCAACAGGGAGCTCCTGCTGGCCCACAGCGCTGGGCCTGGTGAGGCCTGTATCAGTTCAGTACTGCTCACCTGGGTGGAACTGGCACAGAGCAGGGATGAGAGAGCCGCAATGGGTTTTTTAGCTCAGGGGCAGTTATACCCAGTGGTTGCTGTGTCTGACCCCTTCTTACTTATCTGCTATATCAGCTCCAGAAAGGAAAACCAGAAGCTTTCCCCCAAAGACTTAAATCTATATATAAGTTGTTCTTGAGAACTTAAGCCCTAGAGCCAGGCAGACCTAGGGCCGAATTGGCTGCTGCTAAGTTATGCGATCCTGTGCAAATAGCTTACTCTCCCAGACCTTCATAACCCTACTTGGGAAATGGAAATAAAATGGCTTTGACTTTAGGTTGCTGTTGGAAGAAGTGTACCTAGCTCACGGTGAGCACTCAGTGAATGGTAATAACTTAGGTGTATTAGAACCTCCCCCGCTCTGTTCTTTCCACCCCTAAGACAGAAAGACACACACACACATACACACACGTATTTTTATAGAAAAAAAAAAAAAAAAACCAAAAAGGCTCATGCCTCCTAGAGCCCACAAGGAAGCCTCAGGCCTTAGTTTAGTGGGAACTGTCTGCACAAAGACAAATGCTTAGACCTTCATCCTCAGGTTTCAGAAATGGGGAAGGAAGTGTTCTTAACCAGGAAAATAGCTTTGTGGCCTACGAGGGGAGAGAGGCCCCAGGGAAGGGTCTCGAAAGGGAGCACAGAACAGACTTGGTGGGCTAAGCCACTCTGAATAAGACGCTGTCTGGGAATTGGATTTGTTTACTTCCTGAGAGAGGATGGGAGAGGTGGTCCAGAACCTCTATAGAAGGCTGAAGCCCGATTGGTGGAAATGGCTAAAGGTCTTTTTATTTTTAAGCTCATGGATGTCTAATATTCAACTTTAAGTTTTTTGTATTTTTGCTATGTAACCCCCCTTTGTCTCCTCAAATCTTCAGTAAAGTCTGCTACCTACACAAAGCCCTTTGTGCGAGTGGTTTCTTTTCATGAAAGTGAGAGAGTCTCCTCTGAATAGAGCTTGGAAACAGCAGCAGCAGCAGCAGCAGATTAGAGCCAGAGGCAGCATGAACCCAAGCATGTCAGTGGGAGCAGGGATGCAGATCCCACGTGAGCTGCCCTCGGCCGGCCCTGTCCCTCCCGAGAAAACAGAAAGCCCTCAGAGGTACCCAC